AGTTACACCACTGGCTTCCCTAGTTCTCAGGCCTTCTGACTTGGACTGAACTATACCATCAGATTTCCTGGTTCTCCAGCTTGCAGAGAGCAGATTATGGGATGTTTTAGCCTCCATAAACGTGTGAGCAAATTCTTATAATAAATCTCCTCTTACATATGTGTCTATATATCCTATTGGTCCTGTTTCCCTGGAGAACCCTGACTAATACAGCGGGCTGTATAGTCTCTATCACAACTACTCTCCTCTGCCTTTGTAGTGCAGAAGCATCCATAAGCAGTATATAAACAAATGAATGTGACTCTGTTCCAATAAATCTTTATTTATAAAAATTAATGATGGGCCAGATTTGGCCTATGGGTCATAGTTTGCTAACTCCTGCACTATATTCCCACCTCTGATAGGGAAGGGAGATTGGAGCCACTGCCCAAAAGGGCTAAAGGATGTCCCTGGGCAGGAAAACATCACACACACAGAGGTACGGCTATATATTTAGGGAAGATTTGAGAAACACCTCTAATTACCTGTGACATTCTACCTCATTTATTTTACAAGGTTAAGTAGATGTTTCTCAAAGTTTCCTCTACCCCTCCACATCCAAATTAAAAGGTTATTATGAATTTCTGGAATCCTGTTTCTACTAGGAACAAGCTGTCCCCTCTCTATTAATTCTTATGAAAACAGCCTGCATGTTTAGGATTTCAGTGGACTACACAAGTTTGAAATAGGGGAGGACAGGGCTAACCATCTGCCAAGTGAGACATTTTTATTTAGGAGTTACTAATGATATAGCTTTTACAGGAAAGAGCTAAAAGCCCACTATATCTCAAGAAAGCATTTGAATATAACGTGCAGTCAGGAAATGTGCTCCAGGTGTGGAGAACAAGGCCTCACGGGGCCTTCTGCAGAAAGTGAATGGTGTGTAACTTCTGCAATAAGAAAGGCCATATCTATGCAAAATGCACGCAAGCATGTCAGCCAGGGAGGAAGGCAGCCTCATCGGGCCAGCTGCGTGGGCTCAAAATGAAAGGAGATGTGATAGACTTGAGCTGGTCACTACTGCCCCAATGAATGCAGCAGTAGGGGGACAGCGAGGCTTTGAAAGACAGTGCCAAGTAGACACAGGAAAAAAGTAAAGAAGGCGGATTCAGATTGTAGATAGGAAAGATTGCTGAATGCAGCGCGAAGTAGCTGAGGTGAACAGTACATAGAGAAAGAGAAGCCAGGGGTGGGGGAGGGAGAAGCTAGTTCCTGCTGAGGGAGAGAGGCAGGGCCCGTTTTAGTAAAAATAGGCTTGTGTGAGAGCCACGGGAGTGGAAGTGAGGAGAGAGGACACAGAGGGAAAATAGGGAAGATGAGGACAGAAGGAGAGGGGCTACTTCTCCCTTGTGCCCTAGAATAGAAGGTTCCCAAGCAAAGCCACAATAAAGAGGACCAGGAGGAAATAACAGAGAATCTGATCTCAGAGGAAATGTAACAAAGAAGTCAAAGGGGAAAAGAAAAGGGGGAATTCAAAGAAAGTCTCCAAAGAGTATTTCAATTGAGAGAGAAATGTAGCGAAGCACCATCGAGTGTAGGGATATGTACTGCTGTTGACAGAGGAATGAAGAACTGTGAGGGAAGAAGGAAGGGTGAGGAGATGGGAAGGGAATACACATTTGTTATACTGGATTTGTGAGGAACCAGAATGCAATTTAGGTTTTGAAAGATTTGAGGGAGATTTGTTTACCCTGCTGGAGAGGAATTATAAATAGCTCATCATCTATTTCAACTCTGGCAGCAGTACTCTCAAAAAGACTCTACGAATGTAAAATATGGTTATATATTCAAATTCATGTCCTAAAGTACACACTTGGTTCTGAATACTGGATTGGTCAATGTGATAGAAAAGGGTGAGTTAAGTACATATAGAATGGAAAAGTATATACACACACACACACATCTATACACATATCCACACAGGTATATATTTGCGTGTATTGTCATACCAAATTATTTATTTATTTTTTGTGTGTGTGAAGAAGATGAGCCCTGAGCTAACATCCATGCCAATCCTCCTCTTTTTGCTGAAGAAGACCGGCTCTGAGCTAACATCCTTGCCCATCTTCCTCCACTTTATATGGGATGCTGCCACAGCATGGCCTGACAAGTGGTGCGTGCCAGGAATCCGAACCCCGGGCCGCTAGCAGTGGAGCTCACGCACCTAACCGCTACACCACAGGGCCGGTCCCTAGCATACCAATTTAAAGCATTAATTAACAATTATGAGTACCTATTCGATGCTCAATTCATTTATTAGAAGAATTAAACAGGGGATGATAAAGAAATGAATAATGCAGCTATGTGTCTGAGTCAGTATTCACATAGCTTGGATGCTCATCTACTGACATGTCAAGGGAGATACCAAAGTTATACAGTTGACGATGATTTCTCACTGATGAGGACAGGAAACTGGGCTCTAGGCCTTATGACTTCATACTGCTATTTCTAAAGACGACAAAGTGTCTTTCTCTTTTGGACACCATCACCGCTGAAACTTCTTTTTACAGTTCAGTTGTTTTTCTCCCATTGACTACTTGCCTTCTTCACAGTCAGAATCTGAATTTACCCACTGTCCTCAGTACCACTGGTTTCTTTTCATCTGTCACTTATCCTTCTACGTTACAGAGGAGCAGGCTTGTGATTCTGGGAACAGAGCTGCTGGGATGTAAGAGGATAGGGTAGGAGCGGGAAGTGCTCTCCTAATTGGCATCTCATGTACATCTCAGAGAACTTGCCTCTCTCTTGATTCTGTCCCCATAGCAACCCCGGTGAGACAGTCTTGCTATTTTGTCTTTCTTTGCTTTTGCTATGAGGATTACTGGACATTATCACTTAGTGTAAGAAATTAACTTCAATTTAATATGTAGGAACAATGCAACATAGAGGAGGCATTCGTTTTTTTAATAATTTGAGTGCTGGATGGTCAATATCTCAACCTTTGTTGATCAACAAAGTAATTAATATTTTTTTAATACAGACTTTTTCAGACCAGATGAAGACTCATTCATCTTCCTGCTTCTCATTCCTCTTAGCGCTGTGCGTATCACAAATGGCAAACTAGAGCATCATTATGTCCTTCTTTAATTTACAGAAGAATTGTCAGCTGGGACTGATTGTTCTAGAAACTCATCTCATTAATGAAGCACTAAATAAATCCCCCAGAAGATGACCTTACCTCAGAAATAAGATGGGAGAAACATTATAAGGAATTTCTACCATATGGTAAATATATGGCATAATATGAGAATGATGAATATTGCCTAATTTTCAGTAACTAGAGACCTATAAACATTATAAATCTTTCTAAGAAAAGTCTAGGGTATTAAACAGATGGCTTGTGAACAAATAGGAAAGATTCATTCATTCATTCAATAAGGGTTTATTGAACATCTACTTTGTGCCTAATGCATTAGGTTAAGTAGGTCTTATGAGACAATGTTGTTTCCATGATCTTCCCTTTAGCAATATAAAGGTGATTCATAGCTGAATTTAATTGTATACCTTTTTAGAATATTATATGAACACATATATGAAACAGCAGAGGGAAAAAAAACCCTCTCAGTATTAACTCTATATTAAAACATTATGGCAACTCTACTGTTGGCTGTTAGACTTGGATAGAAAATAGGTTTACTCTTAGCTCCTTAGATCCCTTGTTTTGTGGTTTTAAAAATGTCTGTAATTGAGCACATCTTCTGGAAAGTTTAAGAGTATATTTCTGTTAAAATTTTTATGTGAATTTTAAATCCCTAAGAGAGAAACATCTTCATAGTGTAATTTTTCAAGACTTTCTCCTCAGAGCCTAAACTGTTCCAAGTTTGAGACAATTTTCTCCTTAATCATATGAATATCTTATGTAAGTATAATATTCCCCTGTACTAAGATAAAGCAAACTTGCCTCAAAAATTTAACTTTGGACAGATTCTTCTTTGGACAATTTATCTGATATATTCTTCTAATTCTGAGGGAATATACTTTTCTTAGAGTTCAGAATTTCATTGAATTTCTGAGAATAAAAGTGCAAGCAACTCATTATTCTTGCCTATGGGGAAAGGAGCACGTGAGGATAAATGAAATCCAAGGGTAATCCCTAAAACCCATTTTAATGATTACTTTCAACTCCTCTCTTTAATAAAGCTTCTGTGGTGAGATTCATGACGGGCAGGCAGGTGTGGCTGCCCTCTCCGGTTTCACCCCTTCTGCCTGCTCCTGGAGACACTGGGACTGAAGGGATTTCTGGGTGAAAGGGACGAGAGGCAAGGCTCAGAAGAGCAGAAAAGGAAAGGCTTGGGGTGGAGCATAAACATAAATTAGATCAGTCCTTCTTCCCAAGTGATTCCACCACACTTCGTTCTAGTTCCGTCATAGCTCTTCTCAAACTGCAGTGTAGTAAGTTAGGTTACTGTTTTCCTAGATGCATTGTCATCGATTCAGTAAACAAATATTTATTTTGTGTTTCCTGTGTGCAAAGCATCAGAAGCTCTGAGAGAATAATGGAGAGTGTGTCTCATATGAGCATGTCTTATTTTGATACCTTTAAGATACCCTTATAAGGGACAGAAACTTCCGTGGGTTCAATGTGCAGGGTAAACCAGCCAGCTAGAGCAACAAGAAGTGTGACGTTCTAGCCAAGGCCCCACGCATGCACTTCTTTTCATTCCAATGTGACTTATGCTTGTGAGCGGGTTCACTTTTCCGGCTATTATTTCTGATTCCATTTCTATTTTTGTCACAGAGGAGTACTGGTATGACCCGGGATTTGTTTTAATCAGATATGGTAAGAGACACAGACATTGAAGGGACTAAGAAGTTTTTTATACTAACAAATCTCTAGGAACAAGAGGCATGCCGCATCACACAGGGCTACTTGGGGAAGCACTAGGGTCAATGAGTCAAGAGCAGAGGGAGTGAGGGGAAAACGTGGGCAAGAGCCTTTATCGTGGCTTCTGTGGGAAGGACTGGGCAAAGCAGGGTAAGTAGATTTCAGATTGGCTAGTTTGAGTAATTTCAGTGGGCCCTGGGGCATAGGGGCTGTCCCTAGTTGTCTGATACTTGGCCGTCAGTTATTAGGGCAGGTGAATCATGGTGTTCATTGTGAAAGCCCCACAGCGAGGTCCTTGGAGGATGGGCTCTGGATTGTTGGTTTGCATGTGAAAGGCGTGATCCATGGAAGTTGTTTGCTATCTCTAGGAATTAGCTAACCTTGGGAGGGATAGCAAGGCTCCAAGATGTCAGAGCATCAGAAAATTAAAAAGGTATGCTTAATACATCCTTTTAGAATTGTGATCTCTGTTTCTAAATTTTCCCATTACCATGAACATTCAGCTCTAGTTAAGTCCTAACCTTGGATCTGTCTGTAGGCCATTTCTACGCCCCAACTCAGTTCAGTCCTTCCTACAATTATACCTTTTCATGCCAACATTTGGTTATTTATGCTGACCTAATCATACCCAGTGCTACACAAACACACGCACACACACGGGTCCTCATCACAGTACTATTAGTAAAGACAAAATCAGGGAATAACAAATATCATTCAAGACTGAATTGGTTAAATAAATTATAGTACACCCATATGATGGAATTCAATATAAAATTTTTGAAACATTTTTGAATAATATTTAAATAATTTAAAAATACTCATAGTATTCAATGATAAAAATAAAAAATGAAGTGTGTATGTATTAACACCTGATTTTAATACAAATTCATTGATAAATGATACATAAATACTTGAACACACATATTTATCAGGAAATTATGAGAAAAATATACCCAAATCGTATCAATTTTTTTATACTCTTCTGTATTTATTATTTACTACTTTTGTAATCAGAAAAGTACATTTTACTTGACAAGTGAAGGATTTACTTCTAATAGAAATAGAACTAAATCATTCATTCAGTCAATATTTTTGAGCACCCATATATGTAGGTATTGATAGATATTGAAGAACCAATATGAACAATCTGCTTCCTTCTTGGAGTTTAAAGTGGTGAATACTGATAAGTAAATAGGGGATTATGGTATCTCAGACAGTATCTTACACATATTAGATATCCAATAAATGCTTATTTAATAATCAGTAGAGAAATAATTGTAGGTTTACTGTACAGATAAAGAGATCATTAGGATTTGACAGTCTTATTTCAAATCAGTGCCATCTGCTACTTTGCTACCTCTTTCTATTTTACCACTATTTCAAAATCTTGTAAGGAAAATTATCTCATTCACTCACTAGAACAAGTCTATGACTAACTTCCAAATGCACCAATGGTTCTGAGTCTCCTCTGCCCCCAACATTTGACTTAAAACAGGATCTCTGCAGACTTTCTCCATGTCTCCTTCTAGATGATATGCTAGAGGATGGTACTTGATATGGAGTCTAGTATGTGCTGGATAAACACAGGGGACAGAGGAAGAGAAAGAAGCCTGCAGAGGATGAACACATTTTCTGTGGGAAGAGTGAGGGCTGGGGGGATCTTACCCAGGAGTAAATGTTGTCTTATGTGAATGTAGTCAGTAGGTCTCAGTCACAAAGCTCAATGGGCTTCCAACCACAGACACTTCAGAATAGCCCATTGTCAGGACTCTCGCCCCATCTGTAGGATGGCCCAACTGAACTGAAGCTAAACCTGGTCCTAAACACTGGCCTGAGGAAGGCAGTAGACCTTCTATTTCAAACTGCATGGGCATCCAGGGAATACTTTTCACCCATTGAGTCCCAAAGCTACTCTCAGAAAAGAGAAAACGGAAGCAACTTGATTCTAAGTCTCCCACGAAGGAACAGCTGGGACCATGGTGTACAGCCTGTCCTGGCCGGCCTAGACTGATCAACTTGGACTGGACTGAGTCCACACCTGGGGCAGTGGCAAACAGAAGTGGGACGTGAAATTTATGCAATTTGGAGAGCTTTCTTTAAGAAAAAGAATACATTATACAGACACAAAATTAAGTACAAAAGTGAATATTTATTTAGAATGAATAAAAAAATCATGACAAATAACAAATATAAAAAAAGCTGACAATACCATATAATGTAAAAATTCTAGAAAAATAACATAATGTATTTTTATTGATTAACTTTATGACACATCTCAACATTATGTTTTTACTTCTTTCTTTTGATGGATAATCCTATTTACTTCTTCATGTAAAAATACAACGATTTTGTAATATCTTTTAGAAAGAATAGAAAGGTAAATCAATTGTCTTAATATGATGGATCAAAATTTTATTATGCTTAATATTGTTATTGATGGCTTATTACTATTATTGATAATGTTCTTCAATTTGAAGACTAGTTATTTATAATTAATTTGTTTGGATTTTAATATGCATTTAAACATTCCTTCTTGTTATATTTGGATTTTGATGGGGCTTATGATTCTGAAACAAACAGAAAGTTAATCTGAAATTGAAATTACATGAGTAATCCAAATTAGTTTTGAACAAATAAGTATGTTATATTAAGCTACATATTTTAATAATAAAATTATTTTTATACTACATACCCTCCTTTGTTGGTGAATATATGCAGAAGTTTTGTCACTGAAACACTCATTTCTTCAAGCTCTTAAGGCAATCTAGTGTGCCATTCCAATGACACTTTGAGATTTCATCAGGACAAGATGCACTGGCACACTAAGATGTGATCCAAAATGTGGGGACACACAGAGACAAAATTTCACACACAAATGTAATAATTTGTGGTACTGTTACATGTTTATGTCTTACAAATTGAGAAATTCTGATATATTCTGTTTCATTTGATTCCTATCAAATAGGAAAATATATAGTATGTGAATAATGATCTACATAGCACTATTAAGTATATTCTGGACAGGAGGAAACTATTTTTTCTAGGCATGAATGATCACTGAAGTCTCTTTATAAAATTTCATCCAGGGGCCGGCCAGGTGGTGTAGTGGTTAAGTTTGCGTACTCTGCTTCAGTGGCCCAGGGTTCATGGGTTCAGATCCCAGGCTCAGACCTACACACCACTTATCAAGCCATGCTGTGGTGGCATCCCACATATAAAGTAGAGGAAGATGGGCACGGATGTTAGCCCAGAGCCAATCTTCCTTAGCAAAGAGAGGAGGATTGGCAACAGATGTTAGCTCAGAGCTAATCTTCCTCACCAAAAAAATAAACAAATAAAAAATAAAAGCAAACAAATTAAAAAAAAAGTTCATACAGCTCATGATTACAATAAGTTTCCACAGTTGTAGTTCTATACATTTCAAACTTTGTATTTCCTCTGCTACTCAAAAACTTCCGGTGCCTGGCACCCTAAGATACTTTCATATAGTCATATGACCTCTTGTCTTGCACCCAGTCATGACACAGCAGGATGCTGGGATATTCTTGAAAGATATTCCTACACTACTGTGGCTACAGAGAAGTACCTGTAAGTCGCATAAAAATATCTCACTGAAGTGAAACTGAGTATTTCTTAAATTCAACCTCATCTCGGCCACATATTAAAATTACCCATAGTCACTTCAGTGTCAAGTGCAAATAGGGGCAAGAAAGACTGGAAAAAGCCAGGAGTTTTAATGAGTTGTAATTAAAATGTCATATTTTGCAAAATTTCTAAAAACATATGATTATTTAAATTCATTGCTTGAATCCCTTCCTTGGAAAAGGCTCATGCAAATGAGGGGCCTTGAAGCTCCATTAGATTCATGAAAAACCTACCATCGGCTGGAGAACATTGGAGTACCTGGTTTTGAGGCACTAAGACAACAAAGACATGGAGACAAACGGTTTGTACTAAAGAGAGGGGGTATCAGTTTTCTGTTTTGTTATTCTCCAGAATCAGACAACCTCACATATTGTCTCCATTTTCTACTGCTGCATAATAATTTACCACAAACTGGGCAGCTTAAAACCGCAAGTATTTATTACTTCACAGTGCTGTAGGTCAGAAGTCCTGCATAGTTCATTTGAGTTCTCTTCTTAGGGTTTCACAGGGCAAAATCAAGGCATTGGCTGACTGGGCTCTTATCTGGAGTGTCTGTGGACGAATCCACTTCCAGGCTCATTCGGGTTGTTGACACAATCCAGTTCCCAGCAGCTGTAGGTCTGAGATGCCCATGTCCTTGCTAGCTGTCAGCCCTGGGTCCACTTTTAGAGGCCTTCTGTGTGCCTTCTCATGTGGCCCTCTCCAACTTCAAGCCAACAGCATGCCGAGTTCTTCTCCTTCTTCAAATATCTCTGACTTCTCTTTCCACTCCTTCGGCCATCAGCCAGAGAAAATTCTTGGCTTTTAATGGCTCTATGATTAGATCAGGAACACCTAGATAGTTTCCCTATCTTAAGGTCAATTGTGTCACATAACATAACATAATTATGGGAGAAATATCTCATTATATTCACAGGTTCTGGTGATCAGGAGGGCCATCTTTGGGGGATCATTTCAGAAATTCTGTCTGCTGCACATATTAAATAGAAAAGAAGTTTTCTCTCCTTCCTGATTGCTGAGTTCTTACCCTGTGCCGAGTACTTTGCTATATACTTTATATGCATTATTTTATTTCATCCTTCCAGCAAGCCTGTGAATTTAATGTTAACCTATAAAAAGTAAAAAATTCATATACTACCTTCAGAAGTATGGAAAAAAGGTACACCTTTTTCCTTGAGCTGATCAAATCTTTCTGTACAACTAAATTATTTTAGTTCAGTCCGGTAACCTTATATGAACCAATAATTCAAAATTCTCTTTAGGTAAAATTATTCAGTAACTTTTTAATAAAATGCAGTCTTTCAGAGTTCCTCCCTTCCCTTTCTCCTTTCCATGGTGTCAACTGAGGTTGTAGGGGAGGAATGTAGCTTAAATTAATTGTGCTTGGCACCTGGCTGCTCTGCTGGCCAAGGCTGCTGAAACCTCTAGCTCTAGCTCGTGTAATGCTTCCCCTCCGCTTCTTTCTTCCCCTCTGCATTCCCCTCTCCTTTCCTCTCTTCTCTCTTCCGTCTTCTCTTTTGCTCCTTTCCCCTTCCTCTCCTCCTCTCTCCTCTTTTGCTCATTCATCTGCACTCTGGACTCAGC